CTCATCTACACAAAGTTAGCCCTATAACTTGAGAGGTTCACCTTACCTTGTAATTGTGATGGATGTCAAAAAAATAAAGAATATTTAAGTGTCTGAAGAGAAGAAAATGCCTGGTATTCAGAAAACAGTAAGGTATAGAGTTAGTTCATGTAATTTAATAATTAACATAATAACACATTATTTTATGTGTACATGGGTGGCTCAGTAGCTGAGCACCTGCCTTTGGCTCAGGGAGTGACTCCAGGGTCCTGGGATCGAGTCCCACATCAGGCTCCCACAGGGAACCTGCTTCTCCCTCTGCCTATGTCTCTGCCTCTCTCTCTCTGCTCTCATTCTCTGTGTCTCTCATGAATAAATAAAATCTTAAAACAAAACAATAAAACACCTTATTTTATAAATCAGAGTTTATGATGATTGAAGGTACATTCATTCAAAAGGCATATATGATAAAATTCAAATTCAGGAGTCAGCAGGTGACAGCCCACGGACCAAGTCCAGACTGCCACCTCAAGTTTTACTGAAATGCAATGTAGGGCAATGTTCTGCCCTGACGCCCTGGTGACCTAACAACCTCAGCTGACTGAACTTTGGCGGAATGCTGAGTGATCTCCCCAATTGTGGTACACAGGAGGATTCCAAGAAGCTGTTAAAAAGCCATTTCCCTCCCACTACCCTATGTCCAGGGAAGCTATCATGAGATTGTTTCTCATCACGTTCCAGGCTCTGAAGAGGTTGAAGGCCTTCACCCCCTACACTCACCCCAGTACTACATAACTACAGGTTATGAAGCTGCTAAGCTGCAGCAGAGCTGGATCCTCAGCAACATGTCGCCCTCGTTCTGTGCTGCATGGTCATCTGGCCCTTTGCTTTGCCGTCATCCTGTGGGACAAGGGGCATGGGTGGCTAAAACCTTTTCTGGTCTTGTATTTGTTGTCCATAAAAGTAATAAAGTGTTTGCACCTAAAAGTGAGTTGTTCCTTTGGCCTGATGAATCTGTTACCCTTGTCAACTTCCATTCATTATGGTTGGCTGCTCCCATGCTATAAGAAGGGAGAGATCATGTAGTCTGGGAGGCCTAAAACATCTTCTATCTGGATCTTGACAGAGGCAGTTTGCTGACCCACTGATGTAATTACTGTGTAATCATTATGCTGACTTTCAAGTCCAAGTCCAAAGCCTTCCCATCACTACTTGCTTTTCCTGAGGCTGAAGAGTGTCAACCAGTTGTATCAATTGGAAAGCTACATTGTTTCCTGGGGAAGGGTAATAGCCCAGATCCTGTGATCATTCCTTCCTTTCTGAAGTAGCGAGGACTCTATCAGTTGTGACCAGAGTCTGTTTTCCTTCAAGGGGCATGTTATAACATCACATTCATATTCATGTCAGGCAGGAATTAAGGTAGCACGAGTCTTGGCTGCTCTATCCTTTGCATCCCTGTAGAGACCTTTGCCCACTTGAAAGGCCTCATGCTGCTTTGGGCGTGTCCTGACCCATGTGCCAGGTGCATGTGATGTGGCCCAAGGGATGGCATTGGCTCACCTACATTCCACTGTCACATGCGGTACCCACGTCTGGGCCTGTCAAGATCCCCACATTCCTCAAAATTAGTAAATGGCAATTTACTTTATGAAACAAATACCTATGTATGGTTAAGTCCTGGAGTACAAAAGGATATATAAAAAAAGGAAAAGTTCCCCTTGCACTTTACATCCCTAGTGGTAACCACCTGATGAGCTGGGTTTAATCACTGGCCTAATTTCCCATGCTATTCATTAAATACTTATGAAAAAAAAAAAGCTAAAATTAAAACAAAATCTTTTCAATCATTTTTGAGATAAAACTGGACTAACATGTATTTTTTAAATGTTGTTCTTCCAAAATAACTTTCTGAGGTCAATGGCTCTGACTAGTTAAAAACATGGTGCTATTTGTTCCAAGTTACAAGGTGTGCGCAGCATGGCATGCACACCCAACACATTTTTCCGCCTCCCCCAAGGCTCCAGAATCCTTTCTAGAACAAGTGGAGGTGGGAATTCACTGTGGAATAACCAAAGGGTATCAACCTCCCTTGGGTGTGCTGGGTGAAGCCTGACAGCAAGTGTAATAAAGAGGAATGATGGGGAGAGGCGATGGCTAATCATCAAGTGGGCATGCTTGACTTCTGCTTGCCTTTGTGCTTACCAGCTCTCAGAGACACACGTGGTCAGTGCCACGGTGCAGCTGACACCCAGCCATGAGGCTTATGTCCTCATTGTCCCAGGGGCAGCACAGGGAACCCAAGAGAAAGCCTGGGCCTTGGGGATAGGGCTCCAGTCCTGAAGCTGACTTTCATATTGCAGAAGGTATATGTGATGTCAGGCAGGATCCAAAAAATCTGAGCCACCATCTCCTCATCTGAGAAATGGAGATGATGGGCAACTTGCCCCTCAGGGTGTAGCGGTGACAGGAAACGATGGTAAGAGCTAGCACTGAGCCAGATATGTAAAAGAAACTCATGGGACTGAATCAACTGTCATCATTTATAAACATCTGAACAGACACCAAACTGTGCATGGCTTTTGAAAAATGGACACAAAAAAATGTTAATGTGATTTGGAAGGAGACAGGTACTTTAGTTAACCTCAGTCTCTCTTGTCAAACATTACAAAGCTCATTTATAAAATTGATTTTTCCAATAATGAATGAAATTACTTATGTTATACTATGGAATATGGAAAGTATGTTTATCAAAGTACTGCTCAGTTGTCACTCAGTTGTCATCCTGTTCCTATTCACTCTACTTCTTTAGGCATATTTCTAGAAAATTAAAATTGCTTTTGTCAAAAAAAATCTTTCCCCATAATTCGTCAAAAAAATCTGGCTATGTAGATATTAGTTTCTTAAAAATGGGTGCTTTTCTCCAGTTAGTGTTCATGAGGGAGGTTTTCTCATCTTTCTGTAGGAAGAGGACAGCAAAGAAACATAAAGAAAAGAATCCACAGAAACGCTTGGGTTTAAGTCTTCAGATTTTCTTCTCTCAAATGGAATACTGAAGGGTCAAACACAATCTAACCCATTCTGAGTGTGGGGACACAGAAGACCACAGTTTATCAGTTTACAATAAAGTTATAATCTCTCGTGGCTGCTCTCTGAATGGGTGGACAAGTAAACAGCAGGAAGATTCAGCTCTGGGTATAACTGTATCATTTTCTCCTCCCAGGAGCGTGATGAAGACAGTCAAGTGGCCCTATTCTCCTTATAGGAGAAAGAGGGGACTATGAAAACCTCCTGGGCTGCTGTGCCTGGTGGTGGCTGGTGCCCATGGTTTCCTGACTGGGCTCCATGTCCAGCCGTGCAGGAGATGAGTTGGGCACGATGACACCTCACTTCCCTGACCTGATGCAGGAGTTAGCTTTTCAGGTTGGCCTGGTAACTCCAACTCAATGAGGCAACGCACCATGGGAAGGATAAGCTTTCCACTGCTGTGTAAGCCATGGACTCTCATTTTGGTCCCCCAAACACCCCACATACACACAGGCCTGTGTCTTCCTGTGTGTTATCCTGTGTTATGCCCCCAAAAGTCCGTTACAACTCAGAGCTCACGGGGCTGTGGTTGCTAGACTGGTGCCCTTCCAAGGGCATTCCAATTGGTGACACTGACTGGCGAGACTCCAAGCCTCCCTGTCACCCACTGACCATCAGCAACTGGGTAGAATCATTCCTGCACTAGGTCAGCCTTCCAAGGAACACAAATCAGAACACATTTCAAGCAGCTATCAGTTAACTTTAGGAAAAAGACACTGTATAAAGGACAGTTGCTGATATACATCAGCCTTTGTTATTATTGCTCACAACAGCATCACTGTTGGGGAGAAAGTCCCTTATGTTATTCAACACTCTGATCCCAAAGGAGGCATCATATAATATACTTCATTGTCTAGAATCATCTGAAAAGGAATATTGTCATGATTTTTATTATAAAAACCTTCCTTCTACAAAAGATACCTACTTTGTAAACTGCTTTAAGTTTTAAAGCATATGCATTATCCCATTATCCCATTTGATTCAATAGCAATTTGCATGTGTTAGATGAAAAAGTGAGTTCTAGAATACTTTAGTGACCAGGTCAAAAATGGCATGTGTAGTTGGTCATGTGACTGCCAGTCTCTGAGCCCCAGAGCTCATGCCATGGGGCATCTTGTTGGAGAGAGAATGACATCTGTGAGTGATATACCCAAACAGTCCATTTCTATACCAGATCTGCCCTTATGCACTGCACTGGGGGCTGGAGTTACTGAGATCACTGATCCCTACAAACGTTTGAGATTGTGATTGCCCCAACAGCAATTTTTTGTTGGGGGTCAGAGCACTTTTGCAATATTCTATCATTCAAGGGCTGGTCAAATGGATAGTCTGTACACTACCTTTCAGTTTCCTGAGTACCTGCACCTGCACTTTTCCAAATTGAGCTTTAAAGGCCACTGTGGTCCATAGTGGATGCTCCATGGCCAATGAGAATTGAGTAGAGATGAGGAAAGGTGATGGTACTTGGGGTTCCCTGCACCTGCAGGGCTTCCTTGTTCTTCCCTCCTCCCAGGTGGCCTACAGGGTCCTGGAGCCTCAAGAGAGAGGCAGTATCCCAAGGGAGCTGGTGCTGAGGATAGCACTGTGAGGACAGCCCTAGGGAGGGGACACCACATAGATCCTTCTCAGGGGATTAGCTCTGGGTGGAGATGATGCTTGCTCTGTGCATATATTACATATAATACTCATTAAAAATAAACTTGTACAGAAGAATGCAGGAACACCAAATATCAGCATTAACACTGTGTGTTATCACACACCAAACAGTTTAACCCTGACAACTGTTCACAGGTGTGATGATGCAGTTCCTCCTCTGCAGATACTGTGGGTTGTTCTCATCACAGTAAATCAGTTTGCATCAAAACTCTGGATCTTGGGATCCAGGGTTAACAAGAATGTTAAGGTCCTGATGCCATAAACCACCAAGGCTGCCCTACCTGCGGGTGCGATAGAACTGGCACCTCTTCAGCTGGATCTTGGCCACATGCTCCTGCAAGCCCACGAACAGGGCGCTCTGGCTGTGGAGGATCTGCAGGCTCCTGATGGGCTCTGTCCGCTGCTCGGGGAAGAGCTCAATCTCTTCTAGCAAACAGCCGCTGGCAGCCGGAGTCAGGGGCGCCCGCACTTTTTTAATGGTGCCATAACCTGTGAGGGCAACAGGAAAGCAAGAAAAGGGGAATAAGGTTAGCAGGTCTCACCAGCCACTCATCATGTTTCTCCAGCCTGGCTGCACACAGAATCATCTGAGGAGCTTTTAAAAATGCTGGCACTCAAATCCGACCCCAGGCCTGTTCCATGGCCAGCACTGGACATGGGGCAGATGCCAGCCCTTGGTACAGCTCTCGGCAGGGCTAGCGTGTAGCCTGGGATGAGAATCACTCAGCTACCATGTGTCTCAACAAGTTCCAAGTCCAGATACCCAGAGCACAGTAAAGCTCACTGAGGCGCAAAATAGCCAGCTTGGCTTTATCCTGTGGAGATCATCAGATGAGAGGAGTCCTCAGGAGACCATGGTGGATTCCTAGTGTCAGAAAGAGGTGCTGACTTTGCCTCCCCTTCAGGGCAGACACCTTAACTGCAGGTATGCAGGACAGCAAGGATGTGCCTTCTCCTTCCTGCCTGGGAAGTATATCCTCCTCTGTCTCTCTTCCTCCCCTGTCTAGAATGCCTTCTTCCTCTTTCTCTCTAATATATGTTCTTTGGGAAGCCCTTCTCTGTCTCAAAGATCCAAATTCGTCTCTCCTGTACAAGTGAACAACTGTTCTCAGCCTGGTTTCTTCTGTGCCCCAGGGCTTCTGCTCATTGCATGTCTCTCCTCGCTTGCTTGTTTGTTTGTTTATTTAAAAGATTTTATTTATTTATTCATGAGAGACACACACAGAGAGAGGGGCAGAGACACAGGCAGAGGGAGAAGCAAGCTTCATGCGGGAAGCCTGATGCGGGACTCGATCCCGGGACTCCAGGATCACGCCCTGGGCCAAAGGCAGGTGCCAAACCACTGAGCCACCCAGGGATCCCTCTGCTCACTTATTTATAAGCATGGCTGTAAGTATGGCCTCTGAACCAGGCATCTCCCTGGACTGGCTGTGAAGAGCAGAGAGAAGAGCCCTTTCAGCCAGTGAAAAGGCACAGCATGGCCAATGCCACATGTCAGAGACACAGACCTGAAAAACACACTAAAGGCCCCAGTGCACTAGGGCAAGGCCCCTGCTGCCAGCCTACAAATCCAGGGCAAGATAGGAATATCTATCCTATCAAACCAAACCACTAGGAATATCTCCTAAAGTCATCATCAAGCTCCTCAAATCAACTCATCAGAATCCTGAGTTTCAAAACATTATAATTCTCATCCTGTAAACACAGAAAATGAGGCCAAGGAGTTGGTACAAAACCAGCATTAAATCAAGAAACTTTGGCTTTGAGGCTTCTTCTCAATCCATAAATCTCAAGACAACTTTGGACAGAAATATTTTTCAGTTTTCCATGCCTAATGGAAGTCCTCAGAGACTTAGAAAGTTTCATTTAAAAAGAAAATACATGTGCAGACATATATTATCCCGAATTTATTTTAAAAAGTATATCTGAACCACATCTCCAGTGAATATTTATTGATTATGAATTGACTTCATAATAAGATATGCAGTATTAGTAAACCATTGCTTAAGTTTCTCTTGAGCTAGCTAGGTACATGTGTTTTTGAGAAAGTTCAAGCATAAACAGAATTATGCTATATTATGGGAAGATGAAAAAATGTAGTGCCTGTCTTTGAGGAAAGTGTGTGTGTGTGTGTGTGTGTGTAAAAGAGAGAGAGAGAGAGAGAGAGAGAGAGAGAGAGAGAGAGAAAGGGAGAGAAGAGAGAGACAGACAGCCTATACAGCAGGCAGCAGACATTCTTATAAATGAACATCTCACAGATTTAAGTGTGTAAAAAAATGTGTATGCCTTTGCTATGAAAGTCAACCTAATTTGGACTTGGTGACCATGGTTGGTTTCCAGCCGGTGGGAAATTTAACTTCAGTGTTCTGGGGTCTTCCTACCCTTGCATAGAGATAAGCATCAACAAATATGCACAGAACCAAGCCATGATGGGGACAAGATGGAAACTTCAAGGAAGGAGACTTCAGTGCAGGTGTCTCAACCATAACACCCTGAGAAGAGCTCCCCACCAGCAGATGGGAGGTGCCAGCCTTCCTATAGAACGGTGACATGCATGGAGCCCCCGGACACCCTTTGGGACACCATGATAACAGAAGACATCATCTAAGCCAGAGGACAGGAGGGGAAGCCAGGGACTGCCACCACTCAGTGGGCAGCAAGGCTAGTATGAGGGCGAAAGTGAGAGGCCCTTGGGATGAAACAAGAGCATTTTACAGCACTGCAGGGAGGGGTAGGGGCAGGGCGGGGGCAGAGCAGATGGGAGTCCAACAGGAAAATCATCATCTTTAGACTACTGTTACACTATATTCATGGGAAATACGTGTTACAGAACAAAATGCTATTCAACAGTTGAACAAAGACCTTGATGTTTAATATTTATATTGATGGATTGCTAGTCTGAGAAACCTACCCAAATGAATAATAGTTTAGCTGTCAACATGCTCACATGCATGTCAAATTGTTAAGCAACTGCAGGGAAAAACAAATTTTAAAAGATGTTTAATAACTTGATTTACAATAATAGCCATCATTGGTCAAAACATCTCAATGCATAACTCTGCACACCTTGTACTGCTTTCCGGCAGCCTGGATCTAGCACAATTGTGGGACTTAACATTTCAGACAACAGAACTTAGCATGGAATCTGTACCTCTGCTGGGACTCCTTCACTTGTGCTGTCTGGCCATGTGAGAAGTCTCTGGAAGCTCCACCTGGCCAGTCCATCTGGACCAGGGTCGTCTTGCAGGAGCCTCTGTTTCTGTGAAGCTTTTCCTTTCCTGGCCTGCACCTTGATCTTGTTTCATGCTCACACCCTGCTCCTTTGTTGTAGAACACCTTCCTCATGTGGGTGCCTCCAGAATGCTTGCTCTACTCTCCTGTGTTTGAAGTGAGCATCAGGACACACATGTGCTCACACATGTGAGCATCAGGACACACTCAGATCCTCTGCGTGAGGTGCCGCCTGTGGGTTGTGCTTGGCCTGAGCCCTCACCATAGACTCCCTCATACCTTCACCTCCCTGTGCACCAGTCACAGGGGCCACCTGTAGCTCCAAGAGCCCAGGAGGACCTCAGCCCTGCACATATAGGTTCTCTGCCTAAAGTGGCTGCCTAGACACCTTCCTCTGACTGCTGTCCTGCATCCCTGCTCCGATAGCTAGGGAGTGTTCTCTGTTCTTCTCTGCACACCCCCAAGTAGATGCTTCCTCCGGGGTGTCTATGATTCCCCGGTCAGGTATTTCTTTCACCATGTCTTTCACCCACCTCTCTGTCCACAGGGGAAGACTTCTCTTGGGGGGCATGATTAGGTCATTTTTAAAAAAGATTTTATTTATTTATCTAAGAGAGAACATGCGAGAGAACACAAGCTGGGGGAGGGGCAGAGGGTGAGGGAGAAACATGTTCTCGGCTGGACAAGGAGCCCAACAGAGGGCTTGATCCCAAGACCCCGGGATCATGACCTGAGCTGAAGGCAGATACTTAACCAACTGAGCCACCCAGGCTTCTTTTCATTTTTCAAACGACTGACTGAGTTTCTTAGTCATATTCCAATTTTTATTGAGGTGTAGAACATGGTGTAAGTAGAAGGCACACAAGTTGATCTTATCTATTCATACATTGCAATATGATTACCACTGTAGCACAGTGTCAGCTGACACTTCTATCCTGTCACATAATTTGATACAAATTTTGAAATATGAAATAACTGTGGAATTCCCAGCAATCTATTTCTCCTTGGAGTACATCAAAACAAAGAAAAAGAAAGCCTGAGTAATCTTGTGTTTCAGAAAAAGGAGCAACATTTCTGAATCCTACAACATTAACATGCCACTGTTATTTTAAGGAGGTTAATCAGATTCTAGAATCCCCACCAGCCACCATTTCACTGGTAGGTGGCCAATCGACCTTTTATGCACCCTCAAGTTCTGATGGAATGTTCTCTCCTAGTTACCCGACACATGGTTGAAGCCCACTTGCTCTGGAACAAAGATATGGCAAAGGTATTTGTCGCTTTCCATGGCAGAAAGGCAGAGCCTGGCTCATAAAGGAGATGAGTGGGCAAACATCTATTTTGTTCAAAAAACAGTAGGACTCTGGTTGGTCCCAGAGAGTGCTTAATTTTTTGCTGTTGTTTCTGCTTCATCACATTTATCACAGTTTAATTACTCATTTACTTGTTTTGTGGCTTCTGTGCTTGACCTGAAGCACCAAGGGGGCAGACACTACATCACTTCTGTCCTCTGGTGTATGCAGAGTAGCCACTGCGATGGCCTGTGGAGATTAATAAACCCATGCTGGAGGACAGGCTCAGAGATGAGTGAGGAATGAAAAGGCAGAAAAAAGCAATGGAAATGTCACTATCATCTCTGCATTTGCTAGAAAAAAATCCTGGTTAATATTTTTCCCATCGTGGTCTTAAAATAAAACCATATATGCCCTCCGTACACTGAAAATTCAATACTCTAGTCAAAATGACTTGCAAGGGAAAAAAAATCAGATGCCACTGTCAAAAGTTCAGAAATCACAGAAGTAAAGCCAGCGACTCACCAAAGTAGCAACTAGTACAAGTGTATTGTGCACATACTAAAAGGACAGTGTGCAAACCAAGAGTACTTGAACTCTCGTAATGAGGCTCAGAGGAATATTATTATACGACAGCTTGTGTCCTGGAAGCTGGTGACTTTATTCTTCACGGGGATTGGTTATAAGATTAGGATTTTCTTAAATAATAGGCAATTGGCTATTGGTTCCTCATATCAACCTTGGGCAGCAGCTCAAGTTATCTTATGATTTTCAGAGGCATAAGCAAGATATGACCCAGGTCAAGTCAGCCTCGCAAAAGTAGCAGATATTTTATTTGTTTGTCTATTCAGGGATGTTTCAAGATTAGTCTCTAGTTGATTTTTATTGTAAGACGAGAAATCCATACAACTTTCTCAATCATTCTTTAAAATCCTGATGGGTAGGGAGAAAAGAAAAATTTGGCAC